GTAGAATTTGTACCTCATCCACCATTTGGTACATATTTTATTAGATTTGTTCGTAACACACATATATTTTGAAATCAGGTCAAAATATAGAAGTACATATTGGCTTGTATTTCTAAAATCGGGTACAACATCCATATTTCTATACTTGTATACATATTTTGAATACAGGTGTTTGAAAGCATTTTTTTTCTATTTGGCTCCTTTTACTTTTATTGTCAACCCATTTCCAGAGAAGTAGTCCAGTGGCATGTCCTCCAAGCCCAATTTTACATCTGTTTATCATATTACCATATACTTTTGCAGTCATTGAGTATGTTTGTATTTGTCAAAGGATCAGCTTAATTGTGCAGCTTAATTTTTACAAGACAGAAGTCATTGTTTTGGTCCCAAAATACAAAGACAGAAATCAGCACTTGTCTTGAATTAAAGCTTATGCCAGAAATCTAGAGGCAGTAATGAGCACAGACAGAAACATGAGCCAGAGGTCAATTATTTGGTCTATTTATGTCTTAAAAAAAACTTTGCAATCATTAAAGAGCCTGTGTCAAAACAGCTCACCGGAAATCACAAAGAAAACCCAAGTTCAGCCACTTCTGAACCACTATAGTGGCTTTCCTTTGGTAATAATGATGGCCTTTGGTCATGATATATTTCAAATAATATTACTCTCTACTGCAACCTTTTTTTGTAAAGGCAAAAGATGGTTTATAATTATTCAGTTTGCTATAAAGGAGCCAGAGGACATTATTATGTATTTTCCAGGAACATAGTGGCATTTCATGGCTCAATCAGGTAAGTATGTTACTTTCAGTTATTAAAATACTCAATATATCAAAACTAACCCAAAAACAAAGGTGACTTTGCATCAAAGCTGTGTCTCTGTCTTTTTAAAATCTCCTACTATTTCCGACGCTTCAGCATCGGAAGCATCGGTTTAGCATGCTCTAAAGTGTTATTTTTCTTTGCAAAGGAACAAGAAAATAAAGGCTAACGTACCACCTTGCCAGCATCAGCTTTGAGAACGGTCACTCATTGAGTCCTACAGTTAGCAGAAGGCTTTTACATGCTGTCTGTCTGTCTGATCCATTAGGCCGCATTTGTCACACAAGGGCCATTCAGTTAGCGCAGCGCTGTAAAACCGGCTTTTTGACATGGCCACCAGCACAAAGGCTGCTCTCCACTGAGGCGGCCCGTTTTCAAGTGCAGATGGTCAAGACAGCTGGGACAATTTAGTGATGTGAGGCTTTTAAACTGCCCCCCGGGCATGATAAAAAAAAGAAAAGAAAAAACTGCTTGAGTACCCTCTTGCATATTCTACACCACAAGCTTAAGATTGCATCTGGAACACAAACACCATTTGTTCTCCGTATTTAGAAAAAAAGGAAACCCGCTTCAAGACTCCGGGAACATTAATCGCAGACCGTCTTCCAAAGTTTTAGAATCACTTGTCTTGTTTTCCTGAATGCATTTTGCTGTCTAGAAATAGGTGCACAAGAACATCTGCATCATCTTGTTGGGATTTGGGTTTTTGAAGTTGCTGGTAGCCGCTCAGTCAGAGAGGAACGCGCGGCACATGACGGAGCGGCTCTGATTACCAGCAGTCTAACCAGCTGTTTAATGAACACAGGGACCTCTTTCTCTGGAAATTAGTTTTCCCTTGAATACTGTGGAAGCCTTATCCAGGTCTATTTAAATGAGGTAACATGGGGAAGGTAAGCACCACCACATGAGCATTGTTTTCACAGTTCAAAGTGAGGAGAGAGTACTTTGCACTTCAAAGACACTCTTCTGGGAGGCAGTACAGTGGGGGTGGAGTGGGGTGGTGGGGAGAGGGGACAGGAAATAAGAATCGGGGTAATTAACAACTTCTGCTCAGTAATAAACCGCAGACACGGTACTCTTCTGCCTCCAAAATGCACTCCTTTAACGCTGTTCAATTGCATCAAAGATGTTTCCCCTCAATTTGGAATTACACCGTTCATTTTGAGCTTATTTCGGACTAATAAATCAGAATTCACTTTATTGGCCCAAACAGGGAATTTAACCTCAATTTCAAGTATTAAGGCAACTTGGTAAAAATAAAATGTATTTGTATGGGGAAAAAGGATTTTGCAGCACTTGAATTACAGTAAAACATGTAAAAGTGGGTGCAGCTAAAGTTGGGTGTTGTCTGTTGATACGAGCCTAAAACTGTCAGTCGAAGTGACCTAGGATTAATGGTTTCGAATTCGTTTTAATGCATACGTCTTTTTATAGTTCAAATCCTAACTTCAGGTGGCTTCTCCTTCTCCTGAGGCCGTGTTTATTTAAGGATCACACAGTGGAAAACAGTGAGGAGCAGATCAGGGAGAAGCGGGGTGATGGGAGTTAAGGAGGGAATGGTGGGGGGGATTTACATGAGAACAGGTTCCCAGCCTGGATTTAAACTCTTAACATTGTAATGGTGAGCAGACTTACAGAATGAGATTAAGCCTCCCGATCTGCATTTAATGGAGCAGATCTGAAGTGGCCTCTACTTGAACTCTGAAATGTGAGAATGTCACACGGGGCGGCCTATTTGACATGTCGCCTACTGGTGAGAACTTGGAAAGGCTTTGATTGAGTTTTATCAATTAACTCTGTGAGGGGGGCAAGAGGGGGAGACACTGTGACTTTACTGGGAGTGTTTGAGCCCCATGCCGGCCAATCGTGACCACTGTTTGACTCCTAGAGGCACAAAAATACTTATCTGGATAATCTAATTAGACATAATTCACAACAAAAGTGTCTGCATATATTCGTTTATTTAATTCATGCTGTAACTTGCCTTAACAAGATTAAGTTTCAGTTTTTAAAATATTCCTTTTTGAATAAATGGCTTAAAATGAGAGAAATGTAGCTGCTGTGACCCAATAAGATCATAGTTGGTGATTTTGCAAGCATCACTGATATTTGATGAAAATACTTTTCTTGTATTTCCTATGTTTTTCACATATCCCACCAAGGGCTTGATGTCGTATGCAAATGTTTTGTTCCCAGTGTGAGCAAATTATTTCACTGAGGTGGCTCTAGAAATCTTAGAACTTTTACCAGAGTAAGCATTTTGTTCATCCACAGCACACTATATGTAGACATGAACAAAAATGCAGACATGCAAACTGTTGAGATCACTAGAGATTCTACCCTGATGAAGCAAACTGCTGAAATTTAACCAATAAAATCAGTTTGACAATCAGCATGCATTTTTATTTTCATGAATTAATAAGACTGGAGTAGAAGTCACGAAGCTCGACACAGACCTGTGCAAAAAGATTAGAGAAAAATATCAAATGCATTCCTGTTTACGTTTAGATTCACACATTTACAAGAAGCACGGCTTTGTTTTTAATTTGCTCCACACACATGCAGAAGTGAGATTTAGTGTTTGTGTCTAAGTCACAAGCTTCAAGACTCTTTCAGCAGCTACAAATTTTCATTTATTCACTTTTTGAACCACATTTTGATTTTGAGTTAAAATAAGATATCAAATAATTTAGGCTCATTTATGACCCCGAGGAAGCCCACAAGAGAAAATCCGCCATCATACTAAAAAAGTTGATTTCATTTCTAAAATGACTTCACAAAGAAGTCGCATTTGCAAAAATACTGTGGACGGTGACATTGCATCTCCTTATTCTTTAATATTTTCTGTCATAAAAGTTCATAATGTTTTAAAATTCATCCTTGTGTTGCCATAACAGACTTGTTGAATGTATTCCAGGGCTCAGTAAAATGAGTCTAGCATCTCTGGTAAAAAAAAAAAAAAAAAGATTAAAATATTTACATTTAACGTTGTAAAGAAACTTAACACATTAGGAAAACTGAAACCTGTAAACTAACAGATAGTGACTAATTATGATTATTTTGTCTTCCTATGTTACAAAGATAAAAAAATATATATATTAATAGCAAAGGCATGAGATGTAATATAAATATTAGTGATAAAATGGTCTAAATGTAATGAACATGCTGGCATGTCTGACGTTAGCTTGCTAATAAGTGTGATGTTGACGTTGGTGCTGTGATGAAACCAGTCGAAGTTGGCTATTTTTTAAACATAAAGGAATGAAATGTTAAGAACATTTAGACAAACACAGCTAAGACGTGTCATGCATTACAAATAGCTGCTTGAAAGGTTCAAAAGCTCAATTTACATGCAGATTTAGCTTTAGCATTGTTGCTTAAGCTAGCTAAAACTGGATTAAAAACCTCAAATTCTTTCTCCAAAACAGGAATTTTATCAAGCGTGTCATTTTTTTTTTTTTTTTTTTTTTTTGCTTCACGTTAGAACTAAGGACATCTTTATCTGATTCGTAATACAAATATCAATAAACCTTGCATTACTTTCTAAAATTCATTCAGTGTGTGTGGGGCCTACATGTGTGGGCTACTTCCTCTTTTCTTCTTCTTGAGATGAGAGCAGCCACAACGTGTCCAGTGAAGAAAAACACCGTGGAGGAGAAGATATTCACTAAGATGTTTTTTTTGTTGTTGTTGTTTTTTGTCAAAGTCTTTTTGTCAGAACAATTGGAGGAGGAGTCAGTTCTCGGGGTCAGCATTTGGTTGAAATTGAGTGAAATTATGAGTAGCCCACCCCTTCACCTAACAAGACCCCCCCCCCACGCCTCCCTCCCCTCAGCCCCTCCGCCTCCTGCTTCCTCCGTCTCATCCCCACTCTATTGATGGGCTCGTCCGCATCATACCGGAGACCCCGTTGAGAGGATCTCTTTTCTCTCTATAAAGAGAAGATGCGGCTCGCGCGTCTTTGAGTTGCTCGCACTGGATTTTTGCAGCGCGCGCGCCTCTTTGGGCAACTTCGACTGGTTCAACCGACTGCGAACAGAAAACACTTTTTTTAAAATTATTTTTAATTTTTATTATTTATTTATTTTAACCCGGAACATTTGAATGAAACGGGATTTCCCAGAGTCGGAGTGTTTTTTTTTTTTTTTTTTTTTTTCTTTTTAAATAAATAAATAAAATATATAAAAATCTTGATGCGCGCGTTCTGCCGCATCTCCGGCGACAGTTTCGTATTCTGTGCGTTCTCGGAGCAGTTTGCGCTGCGTGTGGGGAACAGGAGCGCGAGGACAGATGGCTGCGCTCACGATACAGAGGACTGACAACTTTTTACACACCTTCCTGCAGGTTTGCTTCTTTTGTCTTTAACTCTGCATTGTTCCCCTAGCCTTTCCATACATATACACATATATATATACACTGCTCAAAAAATAAAGGGAACACTCAAATAACACATCCTAGATCTGAATGAATGAAATAAATATGAAAATAATTTCCACCTGGTATCTATTCCATTTGCACAACAGCAGGTGATATTGATTGCCAATCAGTGTTGCTTTCTAAGTTTGATTTCACAGAAGTTTGAGTTATATTGTGTTGTTTGAGTGTTCCCTTTATTTTTTGAGCAGTATATATAGTGAAAATGTCGATTTTTACTTTTGAATTGAATTGTTCCAACTTTTTGGAAGTATTTATATAGAAAAAGAAAATGAAAATAAATAAAATAAGGTGAAACAACATAACTTTTCCTAATGGTGATGCGTTTGTGTGTCGCCGCACAGGACCGGACGCCCAGCTCCTCTCCGGAGGGCGCGCCCAACGCCCTCTCCTTCCTGGCCACCACCTGCAGCCAGGCCTGGCAGGTGGGCAGCGCCATGGGCTCGGATGGCTCCCAGTTCCCTTACGAAGGCACGGTCAGCTCCACATCTGGAATGTTTCAGCTATGGAGCAACGACATGCCCCCCAGCACTGCCCTCAGCACGCACCAGATGACTTTCACGGTGCCCAAGGTGCAGTTTCCCGGGCACATGCAGTCCGGCCTGGGTCACCACCACCATCATCACCACCATCATCCTCATCACCACCACCACGAGCTGCCTCTGACCCCACCGGCCGAGCCTGCGTCCTCCTACTCCTTCGAACTGTCCCCTGTTAAGGTGCTGTCTTCGCAGGCGCAGTCCAGCAGCCCCTATTACCCCCAACACAACGGCGTGGGGCAAAACTTCCCCAGCTTTCTGCAGAATTCCTCCGCCAGGCATCACCTTTCGGGCGGCCACGTGGAGGACGGCCAGCAGTGGTGGAGCCTCCCACAGACCAACAGCGCTCCAGCCAGCCACCCCTTCTCCCTGGGCAGGCAGCTGGTTCTGGGTCACCAGCCGCAGATAGCCGCTCTGCTCCAGGGCACCTCCAAGGGTCTGCTGAGCTCCACGCGCCGCTGCCGGCGGTGCAAATGTCCGAACTGCCAGACGAACAGCGGGGGGCTGGAGTTCGGCAAGAAGAGGCTGCACATCTGCCACATCCCGGAGTGCGGCAAAGTGTACAAGAAGACTTCCCACCTGAAGGCGCACCTGCGCTGGCACGCCGGGGAGAGGCCCTTCATCTGCAACTGGCTCTTCTGCGGCAAGAGCTTCACGCGCTCCGACGAGCTGCAGCGGCACCTCCGCACGCACACCGGGGAGAAGAGGTTCGGGTGCCAGCAGTGCGGCAAGAGGTTCATGAGGAGCGACCACCTGTCCAAGCACGTGAAAACCCACCAGAGCAGGAAGGGTCGGTCCGGGCAGCCCCCTCAGGGCACAGACCCAATGCTCGCTAGTATTAAAAGAGAGTGAGCTGCTTCATGCAGATTCAAATAAAGCAAGACAAAAAAATATATATATATATATAAATATATATATAACTGTGGGAATCACATTTACTGCCATAGATTTGCACTACAGGGTAAGCGTTCCCTGAATGTCATTCTTCCTTGTCAGAATCCTGCTTTTAAACCAACCTGGACTCTTGTGCAAAGACTTTGGGTGAAATCCTTATTGTTTTGTTTTTATTTTACCCCAAGATGAAGCTTTTGCAGTGATCTTGTGAAAGTTCAGCGTGAATGATTAAAGAGCCTTTGATATTCATTATGTAAATCTTATTTAAATTTCAACTGGTGTGAAAGTCTATTTTTTCAGACTTTATTGTGTAAATATTTGACTATGTTAAACAGCTGATCATAGGGTTCTACCTTAGTATGTGCTCTGGAGAATTAAGTTGAACATAAATGTATGCCTTAGCTGGAAAACTGCAATGATCTCTGAAATTATTAGGAGTTGTGGGGGGGAAATTGCAAAATCGTAACTCGGTTTTCATTCCGGATTTGCTCAGAAATTGTTTGGAAAGTTCAACTCTTTGATTTGTCTGTTTTTTTAAGAGGCAAAGTGATAAAATACGCTGCTGGTCAATCTGTTTAAACTTCAAATTGTTTGTAAGTTATGTAAAACTATTCTGACCGGTTTTATTTGGGTTTTGGCAGCATGTAAATTTGAATAAACACTGTCATGGGGAAAAAAAAAAACAAGAAAAATAGTTTCTTATTGCATCATTCCTGTGTTTTGTAGAGTTTAACTTTCTCGCCAGTTTGTCCATTCGGAGAGCATTTTGTTCCTATGGTAATTTGATTTCTTTCAGAATACAAATGCTGTCCATTGTGATGCCAGTTGTGAAGGAAGAAGCTCCTAAAAAACATCCAACATGCTGGGGCTGTTCAAAGATTTCCACACCTCAAAGTAAATACCCATGCTATTGATGGGGGGCTGTTTGTGCCGCCTGCTGCAATCAAGTTCACAGTCATGTGGCTTTTTAATGAGTGTTTTTTTTTTCCCAATAGAGGTTTGAGTCAACAGCTGCATCACAGGGGCAGTGAAGAGGAATTCCCTGTGAATGGGACCCCTGTTGCCTGAGATCCCTCTGTGGTGACAGGAACTCCCTTTGATTTTGCACCCTTGTGAAAGTTAATACTCCCCTGCTCCCCCCGTCCCTTCTCCCACCCGAGACCTCCATATATCACTGCCGTGTTATGACGGGCTCTGCTTTTACGGCCTAGAATGAGGCTTTATTCAGATGGCCAGCCAACCAGATGTCTGATCATCCAGGGGTTTCTTCTCTTTGTTTCAACTTCCTCTGGCGGAACGCAAAAATAAGTGAAATATGTCGTCTTTGTTGGGGGTCCCACAGAGGAGGCCGAGTGACTCCACAGCGGCGTTTGTACTTTGTTGCTGCCATCGGGTTATTTTCATCCAATCCAAGAGAGAATCACCTGTGCAGATAAGCTGAAATTTATCCCAGATAAAAAACCATAGCATGTAGTTAAATCAATTCTGTGAGTGCGAAACATTTCTTTTTTTTTAGCTTTAGTCATCCCTCAGGTTAGGCTCCTTGAAAATGTTCTCCTGAAAGAGAAACTGATTTACCTCCCCGGTTGTTTCTCATGTTTGTTTTTTGCCAGAGGATCCAAAGCCAGACCGTTTATGTACATTATGTCCACGGGTTCTGAGCCGCTTCTCCTCCCATAGGGTTGCTGGTAAAATATACCAGCAACCCTGCAACAGCAGAGTCCACAATGTGACTGAGAGCAGAGCGGTCAGACTGGTGCTGCACAGATATCAAAAGTCAAGTACTGTCAATCCAAACTTTGTGGAAATTAGCTTTATTTCTTCTAATAAAAGCAGTAATTTCCAGCAATGGCAACATAACTGATGTCACGGTGACGAGTCGACATGTTAAAAGTTATTTAGAGTCATTCCAGTCACTGGAAGAGAGACTCACAGCCATTGTAGACATTTAGAGTTCTTGCAACATTCAGACTTGTTGCTGATGCAAATCTGACCGTCTGACTTGATTAACATCGTTGAAAGGTAAAACTATGAACAGACGAGTTCAAACATTAAGGTGGAGATAGCAGAACACAGAAAAGCCATTTTAAGGGATAGCATTGATTAGTAAATATCTGTGAATGTTACACAGATATATATATTAAAAAAAGTTTTTTATACACCGATGTGTATGAAAAACACATTTGAGTTTACAAATAAATTTAGAGTTCACAAGTAAACAAACAAGCAAAAAAAAAGTTAACTCGTTGCATGACAAATTTCTTGTATTATTTTTGGAAGAAACTGAAGACACATAAAGCCAGACATTTTGCTGAGTTTCAAAAAGACACTTTTATTTTATACGACGCGACTCTTTCTAGTCGCTCAAATGTGACATCAGCCAGCCTTCTCTTTGAGTTACACCTGTTACTTTTGGTTCTCTGTAGAGGTATTTCTTTGTGTGTTTCATGCAAAACTGATTGATCAGTCATTCCAATGAGAGCTTTGTGAAATAAACTGAAGTTAAAACAAGCCAATGTCCTATCTTCCTGGATTGCTTTGTTTTCAAAGTGAATGATAATGGTAGTTTGTTTTGTAGTTTCTGTGAAGAGATTTCCAAGTGTCTCTCTGAAATGTGAGGCCTTTTGATCTTTGGTGCAGCTGTATGATCTAACTGAACTGGAGGCGAAAGTCTTTAGGGTCCCCTAGTGGCCACAAATAGGTGAGGCCTTCTCCTGTTTTTTTTTTTTTTTTATGCCAACAGTAATTAATATCTTTGATTCCTTTTTTTGAAAGAGGAATGACAAGCCGAACCCTATAGTAAGGACACAAAACATCCTAATTGCTGAGCTGCTGTTTTTGGCACTTTTTAGGTAGAACAATCATGCAAACAACCAGCTGGTTGATGAGAGTTCTTGGCATACCAGGGTCATAGTTCATCCTTCAAGTGGCCGTGTTAAAGTACGCTTTCTTTATGGTATGTACAGTATATAATCCAAGAGGGCAAAGGTTATAGAACGAGGCTCTTGACATGACATGAATTGGCTTATAGTAACTTACAATTTGTTTTTAAATCAATTCTTACTTAAGGATCACAAAAGATGGGTGTAATGTGGCATTGCTCCTGTCAGTGGCCGAGGAGATGTTGCATGCAACACTTTTGCGTTTTCCAACTCTTGAGGAGTTGCCCAAAGAGGGGAAAAAGAAATATGGGGTGACGTCATACCCACAGAGAACCTCCAGAGGGCTCCCTTAAGCATTCTTGTCCAGATCAAAGGGAGGCCGGTCAAACAGAATATCAGAGCGCACAGGGCGCCCCTCAACACTGTTGCAACAAAGAAAGTTCCTCATATTTCAATGAAATTTGAGAAAACAAAGTTCTTGCGATGACCACGTCAAATGTCCCGGCTTCCCCGTTCTTGTCAACATCAACAGCAAACTCGGGTGTCAACAGGGAAATTTCAAAAAACAACAAAAACAAAACATATGAAAATAATTGGGGTTGTCTCCATTGCAGGGTATCCGAATGAAACTTAAAGAAATTTGCCAGAGGAAACAAGAAGAGGCGCTCCTTGCCCGCTCTCATGTACGCCGACGTATCCACAAGTCATTTTCACAAACACACATTCAGGCACACACTTAGCTCCAGTGATTGCCCCAATTAGGAATGGAATCATCCAAGATTTCGCTCCATCCCTTTCAAAGAGAGGAATACAGACTCTTCAAAAGAAAACAAACAAACAACAACAACAAAAAAGAGAAAGTAGAAAGCAGAAATTGTCAAATCACGGAGTGTTTTATAATTCTGAGCCGAGCAGCATCGCGCCGGATGCTCTTGCTGTTCACTGTAGGTGATCAAGGCCACATCACCTCCCTTTTAAGTGGCTCTCTAAAAAGGGAGTCAAGCAGTTTATATATATAGCTATATATAGATATACAGATATCTATATATAGCTATATATATATAGATATATATATATATATAGCCCATGTCTCCTTCATACTTCTTCTTCCTAGGAAGTCCCAAAACAAGCATACACCTCAGGTGTGCGAACAAGTACACAAGTGGTGTCTTCACAGCATTAGTTAGCTGTTGTCCTCCTGACTCAGAAGAGTTCACAGGTCGTCTTCGGCCAGCTGGGCTAGGTTGCTGGGACGTCGTCCGGCTGAGGGGCCTGACAGAGGAGCCTGGGTCACCACATCAGAAGCAGAGCCTCTGCGGAAACTCTCTACTGCTCTCTGCTGGGGGAAAAGGGAACACTGATCAAAGCACTGAGAGACCCCAATGGAGCCAGGATGTAAGACAAATCACTTTTTCTGTCTTTGTAACACATTTTTTGAAATCCTTCCTCATTCGCACCTCTAACGGAAACTCATGTGCATTGAAATCATGTGCATGTGAGAGGCTTAGCATGTAAGGCATTTTGTAAAAGTTTCCATGCCTCTTAAAACTTTTTTAACGTTGTCACGTAACAGCCAGATACTTCAGTAGATCATAACAGGATTTTACCTAGTAGAACAGCAGTGCATAATTTTAATGTGAGCAGGATAATTTTTCTTTAAATAAAACACTTGAGAATTGCAGCATGAGCAATACTTCACCTCTTTTTCACCATGATATCCCACACCAAACTAGTGATAACAGAGCCCACCCACAGATAATTTAATCTCAGCATAAATAAGTTTCTTTAAACTTATTAGAGAACCAACAGCATCACAAAGACCCAGGGATACAACTATAACGTCAGTGAATAGGGCACAGTTACAGTATCACCAGGAAATAACCATTGACAGGCTAGGAATGAAGAGTATAATGGGAAAAGCAGCCAAGAGTCATCTGATGACTCATGCACTCTGCAGCTCCAAAGTCTAATTTATAAATAATTTTAACACAATACTTTAAAATCAATAAATGAACCATAAGTTTGGTCTGCAGGTTGCACTGAACACATATAAGAAGGTGCTCTGGGCAAATGAAATCAGAATTGAGCTCTTTGGCTTACAGACAAATCTCTATCTGTGTGGCAGTGAAGAAATGCGCTGCATCAGCTCTCGGAGTGAGCTTTGCAAAACGAATTGACGGAGAATTCTGTTTCTCAACGTATAAAGCATGAAAGCTAAATTTTCAGATTCACTCTTCATCCTTTTTCTTCGTCTCTACAGTTATTCACATTTTGTTGGCAGTATACATAAGATACAATAAGGTCTGTGATTGTATTGTGACAAAACGTAGAAAAGTTCAAGGATTATGAATACTTTCCAGAGCGCTGTCGATGGATCAGACACCCCATCAGACTGCAATTATGCATATTTGATGGGCTCAGGCCTACCTCCTGTTTGCTTAACATAATTTGTCAGCCCTCTTAGAACAAAAGTCCAATGATGGCAGACGCACATCTTCTTGATGATAACAAAAAACAACTTTGCAGAATGCTGCTGTTAACAGGACTTCTTCAAACTCATTAACTTATTATTTGCATTTTTTTTAATGATCTTCTGGTTTAGTCCATCAGTTTTCTTAATAATCTGCAGCAGATTTGGTCAATGCAATTGTTTTCCAACAGGGGGAGATGTAACTCTTTTTGTCAAACACATGTCTTCACTCAGTCTCTCTGCAGAAGGAGTTGCAGTTACAGTTTAATTAGCGTTAAACAGAAAATTGGATTTGTTGTTAGATGTGCCATCATGGTCAGTA